TTAACATTTCAATATCACGTATTTCCTTCTCTTGCCTTAATTACATCTCGAAGGCGCCTGGGCATACTTTCTACCAGTCTGGTCCCTATGCTGGTGATTAGCTCATCCTTCACAAAGGATCCTTTCAAGATCGTGGAGTGATGGACGTGCTATTATTCGTCTTTTGAGGTTAGCCCATAAATGTTCGATGGGGTTCAAGTCTGGAGAACGGGCTGGCCCTGATGTTTTGTGTTGAAGATACGTTGAACTATGCGAGCGACATGTCGACGGGAATTATCGTGCATTAGGATTGTCGCTGATTTTATCGAGGATAAGCAACGCATGATCTAAAATTTCATCCCCATAGTGAGTAGCTGTCAAAGACAACCAACTCTGAGCGAATATCCATTGAAATTCCCGACATCAGTGAGCTGCGTTGAAAAGGCCGAATCTGGGAAAAATTACAGGCTTCGTACCTTTCATTTCGCCTTCTGCCCACTCTTTCACGCAGAGATTAGAGCAAATGTACACTCATCTGTAACACGTACAGCAGACTAATCGTCCAAAAACCAATGGCTGTGTTCTCGAGCAAATGGTGGCGTGCAACTCTGTGTTTTCTGGTCAATTCTGGCCCTCTTACGGGGCAAAAAGCCATCAATCCATACTGATTTAATCTTCTTCGAGAAGTTCATTCAGAACTTTGGACACCTCGAACTTCCTGGAACTGATGAATCGCTTGATCAAGTAAGGTGCCGGTTTCGCAAAATTCTCAAAAATCAAAAAACGGTCATCCTGTGATTCTGTTACCCTAGGGCGTCCAGAACCGGGTCTTCTATGGTAGGACCCATTTTCTCGAAAACGTCTAACGGCGTGTCGCAGTGTTTCATAGGGAAGTCCGATGGCAATGGCCGCATACCTGCTGGAACGTCCATCATCAATAATAAGTGCCACACCACGCGCAATATCTTCAGCACTAAGGGGCATGTTTACGTTAAAAATTGAAATTAAGAAAATAACGATGAAAACTAAACAGTTCATTGCTTCAGAATTCAAATGAGATTAAATAAACATTTAAAATTCCGTAAAAAGTAAACATTGAAAAATCTTTTATCCTTGTTTTGGATTAAGTATTGTGTTTATCTCCAATTGATATTCCCAATTTAAACAGTATAAACACATATTTATTGATAAAAACAATGAGACCAATTAAGGGCAGAATTTTCTTTTATCGAGAATATGAAAAAAAATCAATTGGGTGGAATTTTCTGCCTGTCAGCGTATCTTCAGACAACCTCTCGGTCAAATGACCGTCAGTGTGGATTGTTATAATTTCGTCATAACCTGATGACAATATAACTTACATAACATAAAAAATGCAATTATTGCCATTATTATTAAAATGGTTAACTGAATTATTATTCTACTAGAAAAAGTAAACCATTATTTTACAAAAGAAGACGAAATTCCAAAATCTTTCTAAGAATAACAAGTCTGAGTATGATATGAATCAATGGGATTCTGAAGTTTAGTCTCTAGCAAACGTTATGTGTAATCTACCCCTGTGGGCTCATTTGTTTGTAGCATCTGAGCTAAAAGAACAACCCCAACAACAGACTTACTTCGATTTAAAATAATCGTATTAACCAAGATAGTTGAAGAGATCCTTCATTAGATAACGACCATTCCCATCCCGGCTCAGTACGTGAAGGAAGAATGTCGGTGAAATTGATTCGGCGGTTTCGTCGGAGATTGGGGCCACAATGCTTAGAAAATTTGGAAAGGAGTGTGGGAACCTCTCGTCATCCCGATGTGAGGGGCCGATTCTGAATTTGTTCCCCTAGAATTATTTGGGGGTCGACATGACGAATCGCACGGTGCAAGTCATCCGACTCCTCTGGAGGAAGGAGCCCCGGATACGTCTTTGGTGTCTATTGAGATGTCACAGCCTGCTCAGTCCATGCATGACTAAACACAACCCGAATCACGTTTACATAAAAAATAGATTTGGGTTACTTGATGTCTCGGCATTTTTCTCCACTCGTGTATAAGAGCTTTTCCGATTAAAATTTAGCTGCAGTTTTTAGGCCTTGCACTTTCTCTCTCACTCTCGATTCGTTTCGACTATGGAATCCAATAATTTTTCACATCCTACATATATTTGTAAAATCTAAACAATGTTTATAAATCCCATCCCCTGAAGATGATCTCAATAAAGATGGAAATGTTTGGCACGATAAAAAAAAATGTTTTTCTGAAACCCGTCACACCAGACCACATATCACGATCTCCGATTAACTAACGGTTACTAAACACCACACATATAGAATCCAAATTTGAATTTAAATTCCTATATTTTTACAAATTTTGTAGATAATGGGGGCAATGACATAAATCTAGTTCCGTGGCATAAACTTGTTTTGTTATATTTAAATGACTAATGATATCCCCTTATTAATAGGAGTCAAACAGTGCCATTTTTAATTCGTGCAAAATCTCTGGTTCATTGGGCGATTTTTATTCACTTTGACAACTCATCCCAAAGGTGTTCGATAGGGTTTAAGTCGGGGACTATATGCTGACCACTCCAAGCATTGAATTGAAGCCAAGTAGCCCAACGATTAATGGCATATAAGAAAGAACAACTTCTGATAACACATCTCCAGTGTATCGCGCAATTGTTAGGGAACCCTCGATGAAGATCAAGTTTGTGAGACCTTCCGTAGAATGCCTGCTCAAACCATCTCCATAGCTTCTCGGGAGAGAAAATGGTGCGGTGATATATCACTCTCCATTCTTCTTCAAACCCTCTCATGGCTGGTCAGAAGACCTCAACCAAAAACAAGATTTTAGTACAATCTTGCTTTAGACCAATTGATGTGATTTCTTGCGAAATTTAATCGACCTTAACTGTGCTTTGTCAGAAGTTCTGGACCAGTGGCAGGCCTTCTCGCACGTAATCCAGCTTCTGAACGTCTTCTCCTTACATTGTGTAATCTGATATTAACATTTCTAACTTGTTGAAGTCGTTGCTTGATCTCAACTGAGGTAAATAGAATGTCGATTACGAAGTACATTGGAAGGAATAAAACGATCATCTCTCTGACTTGTGACACGGTGGCAATCCGATCCATGCATTTTTTAGTAACCTCCACTATCTTGATAACGATGGAAGACCCTTCGTACAGTTTTTCTGGGAATGTGGCACCCTGGCACATACGCTTGACTTCTTCCATCTTCCAACAATGCTAATTCTAACCGAATCTGTACCACTTAAAACCATCACTCAAACAAATTTGAAACTTAAACATGATACAACTTAAAAAATCGAACCATCGGAATGTTAGAAGAAGGGGATAGTTTAGAGTTGAATTTGAGGAAGCGTGTTCGCATAAGAGGGAATTTTAAGATCTTTAGGATCGTTTGATTGGTGACGTAGAGGGGAGCATTAAGGATACGGCGGAGGTCTTTATATGGAAAGGATTGAATTCGTTGGATGTTGGACCGAGCCGCGCAGTTTGACTCCGTAAGTCCAAATAGGTCTGACGAGTGTTTTGTAAGCAGTTAGTGGTTGGTCCCAGGAGATGTCTGAGTAGACCATATAAGTTCTTGTCGTTTTAATATTATATGTGGATTCCTTGTAAGTCTGCTATCTAAGTAAAGCCCAAGGTAGCGGACTTGGTTCGATGGTGGTATTATTTTATTGTTAATGTGCACTGGTGGGCAGATTTGACATTTGAATGTAAACGTAACTTGTTGGCTATTTTGCTCGTTCAACCTGATCCGCCACCGATTGCACCAATTGGTAATGAGGTTCCGATGTATTGTTGGATTGCTTCTGTGGCAGGATTGGATTGGAGTGAGTTGATAAGTACACCGCCATCGCAAAACGTCCACGTAGGTTTTGAGTGTGTGTTTGGATGTGTGGGTATGTAAACAGTATAGATGGTGTAGAGGATTGGGCCTAGGATACTTCCTTGTAGAACGCCAGCTTTGATTGGTGTACAAACGGCGCCGATTCTCATTTTAAACCATCGATCCGAGCGGAAGGACTTCAGGATATGATTATAGGTTTGAGGGAGGATTCGTTTTAAAGTATAAAGGAGGCCGTGGTGCCACACTCGGTCAAATTCTTCGTAACGTCCAGAAGTACGGCTAAGCAATATTGTTTATTTTCTAGCCCCGAGGATATTGAGTCGATTATTCTAATATTAATATGGTGCAGGGGTTGGGGCATAAAGGCTTAACAGACTCGACTTCCGTTTTGCTGATACCTGCTAAGACCAAAAATGTCTAATAACAAAATACTTTTCAAGTAAACTAGGTGAAATTTATTTTTCTTGAAACTAACATGAAATTTCGTTTTACCACCTCTAGAGACCCCTAAATAATAAATTTTTGGTTGAATTAAATTTATCGATTTTTGAACCCTCTAAAATTTTTCTGATTTTTAAAAATTGTAACAAACGAAATTTCTGTTTCACGAAAAAAAATTCTTAGCTTACTTGACAAAATATTTTGTTTTTGGGCATTTTTGGGTTATTGATATACTTTGGTTTTACAACATTTTTATTGCAATCTACATTTAAAAAAATGTAAAATTATATATTCACATAATTGATTTGAGCAAATAGAACGGCGAAATAAAAATATTATAAAACGGAAACTTTCAATTTTTTTTTGTTAAACCAGGACCTATTCACAAGAAGTGAGGATACGTGTCCAATATTTTGGAGAGTAGAATCACCAAAAAAAGTTTGGTCCAAATCTGTGACGCACCAACCTAGTCGTCCCCTCATAAGTCTCAGAAGGGAAAACAGTCGAAACACCGATAAATTTATAAAATAATAAAAAATAAACATGCATGAGAAATAATGTGACTGAGCAACTAACAATAATTCTTGAGTGTGTACAATTAGAATCAATAAGATTCTGTTTATTAAGTGTAAGCCACTCTTTTGGTTCTCTTTGTTGAAGACTAAGTGATGTTTGGGGGCCATGCTGATGACATGGAATTTTTTTAAGAAGTTGTATTTTGCTTAACTGAAAAGCATATGCTCTTCATCTTCTTGACCTCTGCAAGTCACACATTGTTAGCTGGTTTTTCTTTTAGTTTATGAAGGTAACGATTTAGTAATGACCAGTTAACATTCGACTAGTCTACTTAGTTAACATAGTATATTTACATTCCAAATGTTTATCAAATACATTCTAATTGTATAAAATTATTTTTAGAAAAATAGAAGATCATATTGGATGGCTACATTAAACTTTTACTGGATAATTCTAACCGTTTAAGAGTAGCTTGTATTGCTTCCAGACATATGACAACAGAGTAAGCACCTGCATCCACATTGTTCATTTCTGAAGTATTGTCAAAAAAAGATTGACTTACTCTGAAATATATTATGAAGGTTAGTGCAATTTTGAAATTTAAAACTGTAGCTTGTTCACAAATCTTTTGTACAAAATTCTGTTAATAAGTTGAAATGTTAGAAGAAAGTATTACTGTTGTTTCATGGAAGAAGTGCTGTTACATCCATCTCTAGCACTTGCAACAGCATCGTCAATAGCTTCCATCCAATTTGAATCATCGGCGGTCATAATGTCTATAAAGGATTGAAATCCAGGTTCTAAGACATCTATCTAAAATATTGCTTTATTAAATAACAATAAAAAGATATTGTTGCACAAATTCACTTAATTATAATGCAATACAATATGATTCAAAATACCATTGTCGCGTTTCCAACTTTAGCATTGGTGTACTCATAAATCTTATCTAATGCTGCTTTCCAAATAGTAACCCAATCGTATGAATTGTTTGCTGCTCCCATCATCATCAGTGAATATAAAGCTCCATACATTCCTCCCACTTGACTCTCTGTTATTTCAGATATCAAAAAGAAAATTTTAGAAAGGTCCCTTAAATCCCAAGTTGCAATATTGTTTCTGATTCCTGATAAACGTCCTGTTATAAAATATGATCTCAGCGATCATTCATTTTGGATATCACCTGAGGCGAGTCGCTTCAAACAGGTGCCAAAATCGCCGGTCCCTTTAGCAAGGTCCAGCTGGTTGAGCTTAGATTCATTTTCTTCCAAAGACGTGCATATATTAATTAAAATATCTTCAAAAATTTTTGATTGTGGAACAGTCAATACTATGCCTGCAATCTGTACAATTACTTTGGTTAGGTTGAATAGAGACAACCTCCTACTACCTGCCTTGATTATATCAGTCAAATAGATGTATCAAATCTATACAATGCTATACATTGGAATCATATTACATTAGATAGGATACCAAATTGGATGGCTTCCATTAAATTATTAAAAGCAAAATGTTACATGTACTGTAAAACAAAAATCAGCTTTATGTTCCTCGGTACAAAAAGAAATTACCAAGCAGTAAACAAATATTTTTCTCTCTCTAGCTAGATACTGCAAAACTACAACCACCGAATACATACGATACAGGAGTTTCATAAAATGAAGAGCACACTCTTCAGCGACTTTTGTGTATGCAACAGTCAGCTCAACTCTGAATGGCATTGGAGCATATTGATAGAATATATAACTACAGTGAAGAAATTATGGAAAATAAGCTGTGAGTAAGAACAACACTGAAAAGAGCAAGCACATGGCTTGCAGCTGTTGCTTGCCCAACATTACATGGTGCTTAATAGATCCATAACACTGACTATTGCCAGAGCTACTATTAATATATCAATTACAACAAGCAAATATTTAAATATAATCCAACTGAATGAGTTGGATTGTATGTTCTGATTCCATGTCACCATTGCTAACCCCTAAACCAAACAAAGGGCTGTTTTTTAATTTTTACATGTCTGTTGTTTACCCCATTGCAAATAGAAACAAAGCTAACACAGTCTTAAACTGTCTTAAACGAGCCAGAATGAAGTAATCAGCAATACCTAGTTGCCTTTTTCAAAGTAAAAATATGACAACAAAATTGGTTAGGGGTTAGATTTCATAGGTTATGTGAGGTAAACATTTCATACATGGTTAACCTTTCACACCATGGATGACTCTTGGTGGTTTCTTCCTTTAAAAAAAAGTAATAATACAAAAATAAATATATAAAAGCTTAGATATACCAAATTTAAGTTGGGTTTTTTCTCTATAAATGTGATTGGTGGAGCTTGTCCAAAGCTGTATGCTGAGAACGTCCATCCAAAGGCATCTGTATTGGTATCCAGTTCAGTTATCCAAAGCTTCTTACCAGTGACGTTTAATATAGTTATGTGAAAGCCTTTTGCATCTAAAGAAGTCATCATTTTTCCAACATAGACACGTTTGATCACAATGTTCCACTTTTCTAAAATAACAATGAATAATATTAACTGTCTTCTTAGCTTAAGAAATGAGTACTACTTTTTACTATTTTTATTACTATTTCTACTTACTATTTATAAAGAATGAGTTCTTCAAAAATATGTCTTACAATAAAATTTAACTTGTAGAAATTTTATTTTTATAATTTATCATTTTAATTTAATAGGAAAATGTTGAATGCTTAGAAATGAAAATATACTTATCAACTAATTGTTAGGGACTTTCAGCATATTGATAAGCACCAATTTGAGTTACAACTTCATAGGCGATGCTGTACATTTCAAGATCAGTGCAAATTCCAAGATTGTTTATTAGAATGACAAAGACATCATTTTTTGCCTTAATGTGTGCCTCCTGGTATAATCTCGCAAGGAGAGATTCTACTATTTCTTTCATACTTGATATCTTCAGAGAAAATAATACAAATTTTATGAGAATGACAAGTTTGTCTTTAAGCTTTGAATTGTTGAAAACATACCTTCACTGTTTTTATACCTTTTTCACCATTCAAACCCATTCCGATTTCCATTTTCCTTTCAGTAGTACCCTTGAAAAAATGTTTACCTTCGAATAGCGTGCTTGGTGCTAAAGCTGCACTTAGTGTGTACATCCTTGAATTTATTTCTTCAGCTTCTTTTTTCAGGAATTTTAGTTTAAAACCTTTTGATGTGAGACCACCTATTATCTGATGCCATTATTTAGAATGCAAATTTTAATATTAATACTAACTTAAAGAATTGGGCAAATTCATTACATAGATATACTTACTTTTGAAATTAATGCTATCCCACAGCAACCCCTTCTTCCACAATCGATCGTTTGAAATTCCCCATGTACACAATCTTCTGACACATAAACACTTTCAATCTTAAATGGATCAATTATTGATTTGCAGAAGGCTATTTTTAAAACTCCTCGATGGTTGTTTTATCAACAAATTTATTGATTTGGACAAAGAAATAATGAACTGCTTGAAACATTTATTCATTAATGCCAATGTATTTTGGGAATCATCTGTCTCCCATGTTCAGGTGGAATCCTCAGTATGAATCCAAAGACAGAACTGATTTTAAACTTAGATAAATACTCTACAGTTTTCCAGTCTGAAGTTATTGCAATTGAACACAACACCAGAGAAATAAAAAGCTAGGAAAGCATGCCAGGAAGATAGCCATTTTCTCCGACAGTTATGCGAGGTAAAGGCAAAAAGCATATGTTACTGTATGGAAGCTCTGGCAGAAGTCAGTGACACCAATGACCAGACCCTGGCATGGAGGGGCCTTCAGAACAATGAGGAAGTAGACATGTTGGCCAAACAAGAGCCAATATGAATTATCAAACCCTATTGTGGCTTAGCATCATGCCACAAAACTGGATCAATAATGAGTCCAACAGTTGGAACAATACCCCAGAAACATGAACAGATTCATAGAAGGGCCATCCACAAGACTTATAAAGTAATTACTGGAAGGTAATCATAACAGGTACAGGATTCTGACAGGGCACTGCCATCTAAGAAAGCACATGCACTGGATAGGAGTACAGACAGAAGATACACTGTGAAGATATTGCCAAGAAAAAGAGACCACAGAACACGTTTTATGTTTTTAATGAGGGGTTATGTAGGTGTAGATGCAACTAGGAGATAAAAAGCAAGCAATATCCTACACTAAGGAGCCACTGGCAAGGCTATGGAGGTTGATTAACAACCTGAAGTTGGTCAGGGAGTTATAAAATAGAGAAAAACAATAAATCTACTCAGGTTGAGGTGCAGAAGGCCTTGTTGTGGCCACCTCTTTTATCCCTATCCTTGATTCACAGCTCCTAGGATATTATGCATACTGTCACTACTACTCTATATGTTAACAGTATGTTATAACTCCTAGAAGCCGTAATGAGGGGAGTCAGATTGGCGACGAAATGCATTAGCAATGAATAAATGGAAATTCAATAGCAGTTCATTATTTCCTTGTACAAATAAAACAATTTAAAAATGTTCTATAAGTCCTTACTTTTCTACCAAGTAGCTTCAATCTTTCTACCGCCGTTCCAAAATTAAGTTTGTTGTCCATGTAATTAAGAACCAGTGCTAAAACCCCACCTTTATTTTTTGTTAATAAATTCACCATTCCTGTGTATATCGTACTGGATGGCGGAGAAGAGTGTAACGTTCCAAGTATGAAACCTGTTAACATATTTTCTCCCACAAAACCTAGACAAACAAAAATACAGCTAAAAACTCAATGATAATTACAAAGTGCATCACAACTTGTTTTTATGTGAACTTTTTGGCAATTATAAATAACAATCAAATGTTGATTAAGTATAGAAGATTGTGAAAGATTTATGAAAATGCCCTGTAATGTATCTCAATCACATTCAATTTACCTGCACCAAACGGTTCATGACCTGCCCTTCCACCACTTACCAATGCGACTTTATATTGCCGATCCTACAATAAGAATTAATGAGAAATCCAATGTCAATTAGCGATGAAAAAAAGAAAAAAAAACACATAAAACATCACCTTATTGTACATTACAATTTTTGAATTTACATCGACTGAAAGTCCTGGATAAGCCACTTGGATTCCCTTCAAGAAGGATTTAATACAACTGTCTGTATTGTCTATTAGGCTGTTTTGTTGCATTTTTGTTAATAACTTAAACAGAAATTAAGCATACTTACTTAGATTGACATTAAAAAAAAGGACAAAACGTAATGTATGCTTATTGTACACAATATACCAGTATAGTAAAGGCAAAAATTTGTGAACAATTAGAACATCTATTCTCATTAAGGCGATTAATTTCAAAACTGGCTCAATCAATTTTCAAAATTATTACAGGAGACACAAAAAGGGTTTTAGAGCCATGCAATATGGTTTAGATTTAGATCAGGCAGAAGGACAAAACAAAAATGAAAGAACAATTTACTCATTGGACACAGACAATCCAATAATCTCCTATAAACTTTGAAAGGAAAGAACTTATAATGTGTCAAAGGAAGAAGGAATAAACTGCAAATCCTAACAGGATTGTTAATAGGAAACTGCAAGCTATTCAAAGAAGATTGGAATAATCCAAGATGAGATATGCAGATTCTGCAAAGTAGCAGAGGAATCACCAACGCACCTACTAACAAACTGTGGAGCTACACTTGCCCGCAGGCGGAAGTGCTTTGGCATGTTCAATGTGACCATAGAAGAGATTCAACCGGTAAAACTAGGCCTACTAATCAACTTCATTGATGAAATAGGACCGGTGAGCTTTAGACAGAGAACAGGGGATACAATAGTTTTTAAAGGATGCAGTATATTACACCCCGACTAATTCATCTACATCTAGGTAGGAAAAATAGTAATGTGGAAATAGAATTTTATTTGGGGGGGGGGGAATAAAACGAAACAAAACACATCAACGGTGAACAACGCATTGAGCCAGTAATGATCTAAACCCATATTTGGACGCATTTTTGTACTGGTCACTTTTGCATAATATAATGCATGGAAAACTTAAAAAAAAATGATTTGCAAAACATGTGAATTGAGCTGGTTTTGAAACGAACCACCTCAATTAGGAAGTACAATTACTCAAAATAAATATAATACATTTAATTACTTAGTGTTACTTTATTTAATAATTGGTGATAATTCCCAATCAATGAATTACACTTTAAAACAACTTATTTTCAAGCAAAAAAATCAAGCATCAAATAATGGGAGTTAACAATCTATTGATGGATAGTATACCTAATAGTTCTGCTGTTGATTCAAAAAGTATTATCTCAATACTAATCTTAAATACAATAATTCTAGTACACCTAGAAACCAAAGTACCATGATAGATACTTTGATTTTATTTATTTTATAAATCTCGGTTGGGGTTTTCCCATTACTCAAGCAGCAACATTTTGTTTAAGTTGTAAAAAACAAAACAAGAATGATTTACCCAAATCTACACAACATGTCATGTTTCTATCCATTAGAAAATTGATTAAGATGAGCTTTTTGGTCTTATCTCTAATGTTTTACACACAATGCTTTCATGCAAATGATGCTATGTTGAATACTGCGCAGTTGGAAATTTAGTGAAGCATATTCTGGAAAAGATTTGGACTTGCTTATAATGCATTATAAAATTTTCATTTTAAGCAGTCTACCCACCAGCCCATCAAGGAAAAATACCCTGGAACAATTAAGACCGTGAACTGTCTTCAAGTTATATTGATAGATACACAAAGATGATAATTGGAACCCATCAGGCAGTTGTAAGCCAGCTAGAAAAAACTATTGGACAAATCAATAATCAGACCATTGAAACTTTATGGAAACGAAATTTGTGGTGGTGCTTCTGACTCTAAAATAAACAAAAAAGCCAGATTTTCTATAGCAGAAGAAATGAAGAATGCTATGTGTATCAGAAAATTGATCTAGTGACCACAATAATTTTGTTTAACCAATATCATTCAATCATCTTCATTACAATCTTATTATGTATCAAAATGATAATCCATGCGCAGACAACAGTCATGCCTCTTCAAAACTATATGTCGCCTGCAGGGTTCTATTGAAATTATACTATGGCATCCAGCTCTGCCATGAAGGTTAGGTTTTCGAGGTTAGGACACTTGGAACCTTTTTCAAACTTTTTTGTCCCCCTTAATACTGAGTATTTCCACTTCTGGCAGGAATTACATCCGTTAAAGTTAAACGCCTTCGTATTCCTGGGAAAAGATTTCTGGTAAAATCCTGAGGAATTCTTTCCCATTCGTCAAGACGTCCGTTACCAACTTTTCTCAACGGGCCTTCTGTCTCCTGGCGATTTCGCGATGGCTGTATCCTTCCTTTAATAATGTTATGACCCTGGCACTGTCATACTCAAGCGCCTGATTAGAACGATTGAAAAACGTTTAAGAATAATATCAAATGAAACAACGAAGGAAAATGATTTACTGAAAGTGATTTTTACGCGTAGCAAAATGGAAGATCACAATGTTACTTTTTGAGCAAATGAGATTAATCAGCACAGCAGTAAATAAAAAAGGTAAACAAAGCATTATTTACTATTTATTTTGACTATGATAGCTTCTAATTACCTGTACTTAATGTGAAAAGATAATGGATTTAATTTTAAACTAAATAAATTGAGTGGTGGGTTAAATTTGTTCATCAGTGTAAATACTTTTTTCGTATCGTACGTACCTTAAAACGAATTTTTATGGAATTTGAATTTGTAGTTTGATTGTATGTGTTTATCAGCTGATTGTTACTGAATTTGGACCACGTTAGCCCATTGTTCATATCGGCGTGTTTGAACTTTTGGCAATATCAATTTAATTAAATTTATGCGATGATCGGACACGTTAAAAACATCGGTTTCTCTTTGTTCTTTGGACAGGGAATAAAGCGACCACAACAAATGAAACCAGGGAAAAATATCATTTCGTGAGAGCGTGTATGCAAAAAACAAACCTCATATATCATCTACTGTACCACAAAAATTATTGGGTTTGTTGATCCCTTTAATCAATTTTTTCGACTCTGTTGGACGATAACAAATTCCAACCCAGTGCACTGTACCGTTAGAAATAATATGCAGTCCCATTTGAAAAATATCTTCGTTGTATTGTTTAACCCGCATATATTTAATTTACAATGTGGTAAAATATGTTTTTTACAATTCCCTTGCGTTAAAGAATATTAAAAAGGGGATGGTCAATGTACAGGGTTTAAAAAAAATAAGCCTTTAATAATTTTTAGTGTTGTTTCAAATTTTTACCTTTTTTTTGAGAAAAATTATAAAGGGTGCCTCAGGCCCAGTTCAACTACAAAATTTCAAATACGGCCGTATACATCATTTTAAAGATTTTTTACGCTGAAAACAATGGTGCAATCGGCTTTTTAATTCATCAAAAAATTACTAAGCTTTAGCAAAAAGTATGAAAAAACGCATTTTGTTGTTTAGTTGTTAATGCCAATAATTTGTTTCTTCTACTAAAAAAATTAATTAATTAAAAAAATAAAGCCTGATGATGGATGACTACTGTCTCTCTCGCCTGTAGGTCTAGGTCTACTCTAACCTGGCAGTCTAGTGTGAGGCCTTTTAACTCTGAAGCGCCGAAGAACTCTTCCTGTTGTTGTCCTGGCGACTTCGCACTGGCAGTATCCTTCCGCTAATAATGTTATCACTCTGACACTATCATACTCCCTCAAACGTCTGACTGGATCCGAATAATAATGTAATCTCTATGAATGTAGCCAAAGAATTGCACCCTTCAATTAGGTGGGACGAACCAAGCGACCTTTCTCTGCATGCAGGACACATACGCGAGCTTTAGCCCAAAAATAAGAGTTCATTGTCAACTTAGCCATGCCTGTTCGTAATCGGGTGAGAATGACCCTTTTTCTAAGAGTTAGATCCTCCGAAGGCCTCCCATGTTTTTGATACGAGAGAGCTTCTCTGTTGATCCGGCCCATTGACGCTGCCACCTTCTTTTAATCATGTTTTTTATTACACTTTTAGCGTCAGAGGGCCGGATCGCGGTCAATAAGTCCTAAGGTTGGGTTGTCCTGGTCTTAAACGCCTCATCCGCCTTTTCATTACTCACCAGTCATCTGTGTCCAGGTACCCAGAGACAACAACCCCCTGCCTCGACGTCCATTTCGTGGCATCTTTCCAACAAAAACTCTACGAGATGGTCGACAACCTGCCACGTGCATCATCTCTCGAAGAGGAAGACGTATTGAGTGGGGCATTACGAAACGACATTGTTTTAGAATTTAGAGCTTAACTTTTAGTATGTTTCTAAGAAGTTCTCATCTGTAAAAAGGTGCAATGTACAATGTCCAATTTTGCGAGTTTTTCGGTTAGAGGCTTCATCCCCCATCTCTTTCAAAAGTCCTAGCACGCTCTGCTTAGAAATTAGATTCCTCTGGGACGTATTAATAATCGATATGTGTATCCTAAATTGTAAATAAATGTTTTTATGGTCTAAGTTTTTAGGTCGGCAAACTACATTGGTCATCGCGAGCCCTCTCTTCCTTGATTTGCATTTATTTTCTTATCTTTTTCGTGTTTTAAACTTTACCAATTTCTTTGACTGTTTCTCCAACAAACTTTGATGTTTTATTATATAACCAACTCTCTCTTTTCTTTATCCTATTGATAGCCTCTCTGTTCCTCATTGGTCTCGTCAGTTGTCAGTTAACAAAAATAACAAACCAAAATACACAGAAACACATAAACAAAACAAAACATGATGGTTTAATCAGTATTCACATTTCCGCAAAGTACTCGATATTCCTCGGGTAATTGCGGGGATAAGCTCCTACATTCACGCAAATAAATACATTCCAATAAATAACTCATTTCACACACTTGAAGGTACAAAGTTAATTAAAAATATTATATTTTCCTTCATGTTTTCCATCGTGGATTAAGTGTTACGTAAATTTTTTGTAACAAACCAAAAGAGAAGGTCTAGTTTTTAATTTTAGCGACGTAAAATCTGAACTTTCTATTGGCTTAATACAAATATCCTATATAATCAGCATTAGCTATTACCAAAAAATAATCACTAATCCATAAAAAATAGAATAATTATAGTGTAGTTGTTTATTAATCCAAAATGATTTATAATTTTAGCGATGTAAAAACCGAACCTTCTTGGAATGTAAAAAAACCTACACAATCTATTATCAAAAAATAGACACTAATTCATAAACAGTAGGGTAAATTTCATGTAGGTTTTTTATCAATCGAAAATAACAGGTGTATTTTTTAAAATTTTAGTGATGCAAAAAATGAACCTTCTATTTTGCCGGAATGAAAAACCTACGCAATCTGTAATGGCTATTATAAAAAATAGTCATCAATCCATAAAAAGTAGGATAATTATTTTGAAACCAAAATAGACGGCCAGCTTTTATTTGTAGCGATGTTTTGTCGTATTTTGTGCCATATTCGTGCAACACATTTGTTTCTGATTTTCAAAAATTATCATATTTTTGTTTATGTTAATTTAAAATGTGATAATTTATTAAAAAAAGAAATAAATAATATGTTATGAATATGGCACAAAATATTACGAAACGTCGCTAGGTTAAAAAATACACTTCTTTTTTGGCTTTAAATCGCCAGAGCAATAATAAATTTATGATCGAATACAAGGAGGAAAAAGCATGTTAAAAATGATGTATTGTTCTATTATATGTTTCTGTTTTTTGTCATTATTAACGTATTTCTTCAAATAGAAAGCGGAAATGTCCAAATATTTATTTTTTAACCGATTTCTAAAAATTTAAAGAGATCTTCTAATCCTGAAATGGATAATCCACTAAATAAAATCGACACATCATCGCTTTCAACCATTGCAGAAGTTTGAATTGAAAAAATCCGAGTAGTTTACAAGATGACATAGATAACATCTTCACAGGGGCTCATTTACCATAAAGAGAATCGCGGGTGAGCTGAAAATATAGAATACATTTCGTCACACCAGTCCATTCCAGATAAGTAAAAAAACCAGTGTTGTGAATATCAATTGGTGGCCATATATGGCAGGAGAGTTCCGTGTTGCAACTCTGACTCAGACGTCCTTGCCCTCGCTTTAGTGGTGTTCGAGCAGTTCATTACTCGATTATTTGGCCAACAGCTATTAGTCTCCGTCAATAAGGAATATAATAACGATATTACCGCCTCGGGCATAATAATGTACCTTAATATCGAGATTCCAGCTTATCACACCGCCGATGGAGACGAGTAGTCCTATTAACAATGAAGTCTCAACGGTTATGTATCTTTCTAATAATGTTCTTCGGTTTACCATTCGACCGGCCAACAAACATAATGATTGTTTGGATTTTTGATAACTTACTGAAATTTTTATAGCATTATTTCTATTATAATTTACTTTTTACCTACTTTATAATTATCAATTAGTCCATCGTTAAAACAAATTGTTTCTCTCAAACTGGACAGATTTTCTAACTAATTAAATTTTACCAATGTCAAATACATTTTGCGTTTAAATCGTTTTCTAAAGGAAATCCAAAATCAAAGTTAAAATTATCATTGAATGCATAATTTGATCGGGTGCTCAAGCGTTCTTCAGCAATCAAAGACACCTACTTCTACCCTAATACGGTCAGCTTTATGGTCCAGTGTTTTTTGTCCTTGGAGCAAAAAAGTGGTAATCACTGTATTTTTTATGCTTTTCCATCATCGTTGTGATCAAAATGTTGCAGTAACATTACCAAAATATGTAACATCACTACACAAAAAGGGGAAAAAATTAAAATTTAATTCCCAGACGGACAAAACAACACACATTAAAAATTTGATGATTTTTGAGTTTACGATGTCATTATTTTTAGAATGGAAAGAATTTTCAAAATCTGTGATAAAAAATGGGGCATCACATTTGTAAAATAAAGTTGATTATCAGGTCGGCTTAACGCGCCCTAACTTGTTAAAATATTAATAGCACTACTAGAATTTGTACAGCCGGTTTCTTCCAATTTCTTTTTTTCAACTTCGCTTTTAGTCATAAATTTTAAGATGCATTTCCTTTACAGAAGTATCTGTGCTTTTTTGTTTAAGTATGGAAGTCTAAAATTTTACCGTAATTCGGCCGTTTTCCAAAAGTCATTTAATTGTTCAAAAAGACAAAAAAATGCCATCTCGTCGTTATCATTTTCTCAAAATCTATTTGGTCTAGTATAACCATTTTTCTTTTAATTTTCTTACTGTACTAACAATTCGTAGCTAGAAATATTTTAAATCAGTCACAACAAAACAGCAATTCGTTCATTATTGGCATCAATCAAATTTGTGACAAATTGTATTATTTTTCATTCAACTCCTGATTTGTAAAATCATTGCTCCTTACTCATGTTCAGCCGTTATAGCTCTTCAGAATGAAAACAAGAGCAGTTACAAAACGTTGAAGAGCTTTGGAGAAAAGTGTACTTAGAGGTGAAAAAGCGATTTTCTGATCGAATTTTGGGATTTTTCCCGTACGAATTGAAAGATGATGCTTTAGTTGAGAAGATTTTCAGGGTAAGAGAAATAGTGTAATATTAGTTTATTACAAAAATAAAAATAAAATTTTTTTGGGCACTAAAGCTGCCACGACATCTGTTGTGAAAACCTTTATCAATAAAAATTCAACCGGTCATACTTTTGTCGTTCAAATTATAAGTGATTCTTTTGAAAATGAAAGATGAATTGAAACGTGTGTACATCTCAGTTTCCTGTGTCCTGTTCAAATGTTACACTT